AATCTACAGCACGATGCCCGTCTGCCCCCGCGCTTGAGGCGACAGCGAGTCTGCTCTCATCTCCTTCGTAGCAGCTTTGGACAGATTTGATCGATTCTGCTGCGTCAGCTCTCTACCGCGCTCCGTCAGTTGTAGTTGTGGCATGTCTTTTCGCACTGCAGCGATTCCACCTTTCACGCTGCTCGCAGTGATTCTTCTGGCTCGAAGTATACTTGTAGCAACTCTTGATGTATCTCCGTCATAGCACACCACGTATACCTGCTTGCCAGCAAGATCGTAAGCACTGATACGATCGGAGGTGAAAGTAGCCTCTAGCTCCTTCCATTGAGTCTCGAGTATTACGGCATCGAGAAATGGGCTGGGCATGGAGGCATTGCAGCTCTGCAGCGGTAGGTTGCATGAGCCTGGTACATGAGCTCTGGCAAAATCTTCTGGTTTTCGCAGGTCAAGTATAACCGCCTCATTGTTGTCGCCTTGTGCTGTGCTGGTGAATTGCGAGAGTAATTGCGTGGGCTCCAGTTCCCAAGCGTCATCGTAACGGTATAGGTCGACTGCTGTGAGATTCTGTTTTCATGTCAGAATCATCCTGGAAAAGAAGAGAAGATAGCCATACTTCATTGTGGATAGGTGAGAAAGCTTCAGCACCAAGCTTGTCAAAATACTCGTCCACATACTGGATAGGGAGATCACAGCAGATGAAGGCACAATCGATGAGTCCGTTAGATCCAGCAAGTTCTTTCAGGGTGCCTGCCGCTTTTCGCTTGCTCAAATAGTTGAAAAGCCCTTCTGCTGTCAGTCGTTGATGTACGAAAAGACGATTGACGCACCTTTGAGGTTGAAGCCGGACGATGGTCCACAAATAAGGCCTTCACGGCAGAGCTGTAGGCTGAGGCTGAATGCGTCCTTTGAGCCAACTTCCTCGATAGCATCTACGGAATCGCGCCAAGGGAATTCGACAGGGGCCAGCAACGCAAAAGAACGGGGCCCGGGAACTCGATCGCCAGGGGCTGTACACACACTAAGCAGTAAGTTAGTTCCTATTTGAATGCGACAATGATAAGAACATCAACATACCCTAAGCGAAACACTGATGGATCCTGAGCCTTGAAGTATTGTCCCAAGCCTGTCATAGTACCCGATGTACCCATACCAGCACATATCAATCGAATGTTGGGCAACTGCTCGAGGATCTGAGGGCCAGTCCATCTGACGTGCGATTGCCAATTCTGTAGTATTTAGTACATGTTTGAAAGCGTTGCATCGCATAAATGACATACTGCGTCGTTCTCATATTGATTCAAGTTCAAGACTGATTCATCCTCTTCAGCCATCTTCTTGGCCCGTTGTATACCTCCGCGGCAATCTGTAGGGTCGGGTTGAGACGGGCCTCCGAACAGTGTTCTTTCAGAAAGTTCAGCTACTAGAAATCATGGAGACTCAACGGCATACTTACATGTCTAGCCCAAAGAACTGCATGAGCCGCAGCTTAGGGCCACTGGTCTTGTTGCTCAGGAAAGCTCGTGTGTCTTTAATCCCATGATTGATCCGTGAAAGTAGTGCAAGTGATATGACGGTCGATCCGCTCGAATACTCAACGACGGTCTTTGACTTTTCTGGCTGCACTCCTTTCTCCAACATATTCAGCGCCGGCATGACCTTGACGTTGTTTGCAGGATGCATGGACATCATTTTGGCGTGTATGCGAACGCCGTCATTGTAAAATGGGTTAAGGCTGGGTGGTAATTCTACCAGTGGAAGCATTGGTTGACAGTCCGGGTCAAAATAGTTCCGAATTGCATCGGGACCCGAGTAGGCATTCAGATAGTTTCGTTTAGCCATTTTTTTTGTATTTAGATAAAGTTGTTATGAGCAAAGCAAAAGGTATGTGACAGTAGAGAGGCTCTCCTCTTTAAACTGAATGCATTCACCGGGTCTACCCGACCAATGCGGACGAAAAAAAATGCACATCATATTTTGCTGCGTGGATGCGGCTCTAGGGGGCCATGACAGCCATCAAGGTTCCGAGAAAATAACGCTGCAATATAGTTGTTACATGATTACGGTATAGTCGGTGTTGATACCTTGGTGGTTTCTAAGGCATATTGAGCACATTGTGTCGAATCGAAGCCATCGTGTGAACAGGCGCTTTTTCTGTTTACAGGATAGCGTTGGCAGGGCGGTACTCCCTGTTCGCATCAGCATCCATGACCTCCAGCCAATCCGTTTCACATGCGGGCCCTAACTTGGCAGGTCGACATACCACGCTTGTTCCATGCATGCTGCAGTGTATTTCAAGGTGCTCAAGTGGCAGGCGGTCAGACCCTTCAAAAGCAATGTAGATTGGGCATGATGCACTATCCATGTGTATAGCCTGTTGATCGACAAACAGTGTGTCGTGTAATAGTAGTATTAGTACTAGTGCACCACTACTAGTGGCCTTGGCATCCAATGAGCATCTTAGTGGAGCAAGTTTGCGCACGTTTTACTGCCGTCTATTGACGCACGATTCTAGACTGCTGGAAGATTCTCTGAGCAAGTGCCGGCGATACTACATGGAGATGAACTATTTTCCAAAGGCCTGGGCTTGCAGAGACCGGTAAGCACCTTAAAAGAAATCGGTGCTCTTAAGCCCTTTAGTTCCAAGTGCAGTGCGCGCTGTCGGTGTACTTCCAGGCCCGGTGATATATAGCATCCCCTAAGAAACTTGGAGAGATTTGCAGTGACGACGGTGGCTGCCTTTTGCTCCTCTCTTCTTCAATCGAATGCCCAAGACTGACGCACCCTGTCTTGAGTACGCCATGGACACTAAGCCTACTCCCGAAATTGAACCACACCCATCAGACGAGGAAACTGGGCCGAGGTTCAACGAGCAAACTAACTATGTGCCGGTCAAGACTATCATTACTGTGAGAGGACTTGCATCCAATATTGTTCCCTGTGCTCATCAAACTAGATATTTCTGGCCTGCGCAAGTATTGACTTGCTAGCATTGTTAGACCAGACTACTCTTGGAGCAAGTTTAACCATTGTCAGCAAGGCTCTTGACGCTGACAGTGAGCGCGCATGGATTGCAGGCGCCTACTTCCTCACATCGACCTCATTTCAATTACTCTATGGCCGCCTTTCCGACATATGGTCTCGCAAAGTCGTCTTGAGTGTCGGCATTGCAGTCTTCTTTTTCGGTTCATTAGCCGCATCACTGGCACAGTCAGCCGTTCAACTCATCATTTTCCGTGCCTTCACGGGAGCCGGAGGCGGCGGTCTTGTGACAATCGCCCAATTGATAGTTTCTGATATAGTACCGCTTCGCGAAAGAGGCAAGTATCAAGGTATACTGGTATGTCACATGCTATTTATGTTGAAGAAAGCTATTCACATCACCATAGGGGGCTGTTGTAGCGCTGGCCAATGGAATCGGACCAATCATTGGAGGTGCACTCGCCTCACAAAGCCCAGATTCTTGGTAACATCTCCCAAAGAGACAAAGTCCATCATGTACTAATTATATCTTAGGCGATGGATATTCAGGCTGAATCTCTTCACAAGTCTTGTGGCTATTGGCGCTGTGACCTTCTTGATGCCATTACGCAAAGTCCACGGCGCATGGAAAGAGTAAGTTATTAGGTTCATCTCACAGTTCAATGCTAAGCGAACAAGAAAAGTAGCAGCTATCGACTTTTTTGGAGCTTCCCTAGCCCTTGCCGGCTCCACACTACTCGTGGTATGTATATCCTGTTTCATTCAGTGTGCTAAGGCTTACCGGTAACAGTTGGCATTGACGTGGGCTGGTGGTGAACACCCATGGGAATCTGCTCACGTTGTCGCTACTCTTGTCGTCGGCGTTGCAGTCTCCGCAGGTTTCATACTATGGCAATGGAAAGGTACCAGTGTGCCGCTAGTTTCACGTAAGTCAAGCCATCGTATCGAGTTAATGGATTCCATCATTCACCCTGAGATCTCTGTGAAGCACATTTACTGATCATGCTTAGTGGACATATTCACTTCAAAGGTCGTCAACGGGGCGATGTTGACAATGTTTGTCAATGGCTGGAATTTTCTTGTCCAGATCTTCTACATCCCATCGTTCTACCAACTGGTATACGGTTATTCAGCTGTCAAGTCTGGAGCACTGTTGCTACCTATCACACTCACACAAAGTAGGTGTTGTTAGTTATACTGGGAAGATCAGATGGTTGCTGATTTAAGGATAGCGCTCTTTAGTACACTCTCTGGTCTCGTAGTGCATTGGACTGGACGTTACCGGGAATGCCTTCTCATCGGATGGGCAGTATGGGCAATTGGATTGGGCTTACTATCAACGCTTGACAGCCCTTCTCTTGGAAAGCAGATAGGATACTCTCTTCTTGCTGGTTTTGGACTTGGAAACACACTGCAGCCAAGCCTGATCGCTGTCCAAGCAGGAGTCGAACGCAAGCACATGGCAGTAGTCACAGTAAGACATATACCTGCGCCTCTTCGACATTATTCCTCAAAGGCTGACATCGAGCACAGTCAACACGCAATTTCATACGCAACCTCGGCGGTACCCTAGGATTGGCAATTGCGGGAACCATTGTCAATAATGCCGTTCGTCATTCACTAGCACCATACGGACTCTCTAGAACGGAATTGAACCTACTTCTCAACTCGCCAGACCTATTTCGCGAGTCGTTCGGGACACAGCGTATGGATCAAATTCGCGTCACGCTCACCTCAGCATACAAGGAAGGCTTTCGAATCATTTTCATCGTGGGTGCGGCTCTCAACGCCATTGCCTTTGTCGCTGCCTGGTTCTTGATGCCTCAGGTAGAACTTGCACGGAAGGACGATGCTCAGCTAAAGGAAGAAGGGCAGAAGAGGCATGAAGAGAGGCGTAATAAATCCTCTAAAGTCTAGCATAGTTATTTGTTGCTCTGTCGCTCTTGTAATCAGCAACAAAACTCAATTTCATTCTCGCTAGTTACATTGCCACAATCAGCATGTTCGACGTGTACCATCCCTCAGGCATCCTTAAGCGGCCAATTGATACCCTTATCCTTCGCCCCGATGTTCCCCAGCCCCGCGCAATTATACATACCCACAGGGTTATTCTCCACAGCTCTTATGTATTGTAGATCAAGACACTGCTTGGTACCCACACTAGCCTCGAGTGCAATGCGCCCATCATCCATAGAAATCCAAGTCTGAGACTCCGCCTTGGGTGCGCATTCGCGGAGGTAAACGAGCGCCATGTCCTTCCACCCAGATTTGGGGCCGGCGTCCATGCATAGGGTTGTGGAGGCAAGTTGGATCGAGGTGCTGTTTGATGGTGCAGCAAGATACCACGTTTGCGAAGGAGATTTGGTCAGAGATTGGCTTGTGGATTTGACGTGTTAGCTTATGTTTACAACTTCGACGTGTTGAGGGTGCTTAATGAGAACTCACACTACAAGAGGTGCGCCTGCGATGCGCGATTTGGGAACGACAACGAATTTGGCATCTTGAGCTGAAGTGATGTAAACAGTGCGGTGCCCTTCTGGTGCCTGGGCGAAGCTTGTTACCACGAGTGCAAGGCTGAGGATGATAGTGGGCAACATTGTGATTCAGTGAAGCTGCTGTAAGATATTTACTAAACAAAGTACATCATGACATTCTTTTATGTGTTTTGCTGCCCTGATCGCTCTCGCTTGGCTAAAATCTACGCTTGATTAAAGTGTAGACATATGTACCGATGGTGGGGACGAAGCGAACGGCAGCTGTGAATGCGGGGAATGTCCTCCACAATATCTTTAATAGATCACTTATACTGTTCAATATTTACCCATTCATATCCTGTCTTCGGTAGTTACATGTTCATCGCAACCAGGAAATATGATTAATACAAGCGTTCCTGATCGCGTGACAGATCGAATGCGACGCTCTCAACGTCGAAAAATATGTTGCTTGATAGCTGCTTGGTACATACCAGCTTCCCCAGCTTTTAGTGAAATCTTCCACTTCGAAAATCACAAGAAATGATCACTCAGCATTATGGCAGGAAGTCAGCCTCATTGAAAGGACATCAATGTTTCCAGCGTTTCTGCATGAATTAGACTATTCATCCACTCTCCCGTTTCATCTTCTCCGTGCCGTCATCTTCATTTTGTGACTAATGATTTTCTTTCCCCACGGTATTTCTTTTCTCCAACATTGTTTCTGACATATGCAAACTGCAAAAAGCAAATGGATCAGTACCAACAAATTTCCCCTGAGCCCACTCGCGCTTCTTTTCCCATCTCCGTTTTGTTTTTACCCAAGTTTGATTTGTTCATAGCGGTTGCAAATTGCTGTGACATGCGTTATTTAATTTCCAGAGCTGCAGTGACTTCCTTTTCTTTCTTTTTCCACAACCACCACGTGATTAGCATGACTACGAATGTGAGTATAAAAGTGACTAGAAAGTATAGCCATAACCAGGAAGAGTACATGCGCCCACCGAGATTGTTGTTAAAATCGAAAAACGTGGTGCTGAAGAATGTCTGCAGGAACTGTTAGAAGGGAGGCGGCGACATGAAACTCATTGATGACTTACAGCAGTAAATGTGGCGGGCAGAAAAATCATTGTCATTGCGGCGATGATCTCCATTACAGCACTATCACGTGATGTGACAATGGCTACACTTTGCGAAGACCGTGCCAGGCTAGTGCTAGTACTGGCTAGACTGAGACTGGTCGCTGCATCGCGTTGAGCAATGCCGCTGTATATCTGCGACAATGAGAATGGCTTTTAGTACTATTTTCATCAAAAGTACTTACAGTCTGAACTAAAGCTTGACCTCTTTTAGAGAGATATTCAGTTCTATCATGTAGTCCCATATTCCAAGCGCGTAGATGTTCATGCGTCTCCGATAGTAAATTTTTGATATGCGAGATATCATTCTTTGGCTCACCGTGGGCCATAGCTTGTTGTCGATATCGATCTGTGACCTGGTCCAGGAAATCAAGCAAACGCGCAGTGCTTTTGCACGACCAAGCGATGTATGCAAGTTGAGTGTTTGCTGCATTTAGAGTCCTTGACAGTGCCGTGAAGTCAAGATTCGCCAGGTCAATGCTATCATGGTGATCAAATCGGATGCCTAGCGTTCGTTCGTGCCAGTAGATCTCGTCATGCCATCGGGTAATGACTTTGCCTAGTTCGGAAAGGTTATGCTGAACAATCATACTGGGAATTATAAAGGCAGATTCGTTTGCAGCACCTCCCTCGACATCGCGAGCGAAGCGGTCGTAATTCTCCGTTGCTAAACCATGCATGAAAATGTACATCTGGCGACTGGGGAAATGATATGTAATTGAAAGACCAGCGCATACATAGTTCATCGCGCCAGGAATAGATTGGATGACGAAACCTGTCAGAATGTATTTAGAGAGTCTCCCTCTTCATGTATTCGCCCACTTACTGAGATAGTTTTCCCGAGTATCATGAAGCGGTGTATGGGATAAGTGGGCGGGTATTTGAGGTTGTGTAAAGGAACTGACCAAGGCCCTTTGATCCAGCATACTAGGATAGACGTCTGGTATGCGTGCAAATGGTGCAATGAATGTGTACATTTGTAGAGACAGAGCGATTGGCGTTAGGCTGCCGTCATAAAGTCCTGCCCGCTGTGAGCAACTGGAGATTCCATGAGCGACTATCTACTAAAGCTAAGAATAGGTATGCGCACAATAGTTTTATTGTCTCATGTTCTGGTTGCTGTGAGGAACCAGGCTGTTTATTTGGTTGTGCTTGAAAATCATTCTGGATGTATGTCTCAACCAGACTTTTTGTAACCTGGGATTTCCGTGAAATACCGTCACTGCGTACCTCAATCAGCGATACGGGAGCGTTAGTATCTTCAACAAAGTTTCCTGCTTTGTGCTTGATCTTTGTTTGTGAAGATGGCGCTGCTTTGCGGATTGAGGTTCTCATCTTCGCCGTGACAAGGAGAATGTTCCGAAGGCCCTTTTGCAAAGTTTGAGTGAACAGGGGCAGAGAGGTTGGAATATTTCCTAGAAGTTTGTGTAAAGAAAGCAGATCGGAAGACATGTAGTTGAGGCTGTTGGACAGCCTTGGTGGGGGGCAGCAACAACTGGCGGCCAATGATTGGTGCTTTTCGACGAGAGCATGATCAAGGCAGAGCACGCTATACTCTTTGTGGGGAAAGTGTACGCTCATATTTCTGATAAGATGCGGGCATATAGACAGTGACTGTATGAATAGGCGCTGCGTAGGCAGGCGATTCACAAGACACCGCTCACTCATTGTGCAACTGTACAACTGCCAGCAATCAACCACAAACAAGAAAACGCATGCACACATCTAAGATGCCCACCTCACTGGAACAACAGTAGCTGGCACTTGCACATCTCATATCAATAGTCAAACCTACACTAGTTTGTTCACTAGACAAAGGTATTTTACGTCTGATTGCGCCAGCAGAGACACAACAAGACAGTTTGAGTAGTTGGTATCTAGTGCCTTGCATCAAGGTTCCAACACACCCAAATCTACATGGGTTGACATGATGCGCTCTGCCATGGGCATGGTCATCGAAAATTCTTTGAAATGGCCCAAGACCGAACCAAGAGCTTAGGGCAATGTACAGGGAGGCGCCGATCAGGGATTCAGCCGTAGAGGCGTCATTTACACAGTTTGAGCTAATTCCGATAGACTTATCACGCCAGTGTCACTCTCTATGAGCTGTTCAGGCGTGTCCCTTGGAACACATCTTACGATGGGATAATTGACGCAACAAAGGTGAACGTGGGACATAGTAGCGGTCGAATTGCAGCAAATTGACCCGAATGCTAATGATTGTATTTATCCAGCATAGCCATCAATAACCTGTCGTACCACGTATCCCCCACCCCCATACCATTAAGTTCAAGATAAGATGACTTCAAAGTGTATCTTACAGTAAGATGACCGGTACTCGTAGCGGGATAAGTACAAGGATTCTAAGATTACCACGCCGTGAACAAAGGTCCGACGCTATCGTATCCACCGCACTTGATCATAATAGCGCCGCAGTCAGGAATAACTGTTGGTGCCGAACAAGGATCAAGATTCTGCACGCGGGCCGCAATCGATTTAGTTTGCCAGATGACGCAAAAGAGTCTTCCGGCGAGACGCTTACCCATCTTAGTCGGGTTCGGATAGCATGAGTAAGTAGTGAGGCTCGGTAACACAACCATCCGACGACGAGAAAAAAAAGCCATCGCGGCTACTCAACCAATACAAAAAGAAGATAACGCAATGAAGCAAAGTACCATCTTTGGTAGATGATGGGGAAAAAGTAAACAACGACAACAACAACAACAAGACAATTTCCGACTCTCGTCCACGGAAATCATGAACTACGGTCATCAATAATCCCTCACATCATCTTCCCTCCCCATCACAGACAGAACCACGAATCTAGCACGGGAAACACTATCCCACTCACGTGACACAACCCTCATCTCCACAACTCCGAACCCTAACCCGACGATCAAACTCTAAAGCCCGTCCCCCCAATGAAAAAAACAATACAGCCCGCCCGCCTAACCCCCCCCCAAAAAAGAGAGAGGAAGCAGAGCACGGACTACAATTGTTTCGCTGCAGGTACCAACCGAGCTTGCGGTTCGGGGTGCGAGGAATCCATACATGAACGTATGCAGCCTAGTCAGGTACTTGCACACACGCGCGCGCGCGGAGTCAAGGGAACGCGAACGGGAGAAAAGCGAAGAAATGGGGGTTTCAAATAGACGAAGTGCGATGGAGAGAGGATGGGAATCAAGGGAGCGTGGGGGGGCGGGTGGTTCAGCAGACGATGATGATGATTTCCCTAGGGTACAAAGTAATAACGGCGGTAAAAAAAAATTTGGGTGATTACTTGCAGTTTGCATTGCGTGGATTGATGGATGGGTTCAACGGGTGCGGTGCGTTGGAAAAAAAACAAACAAACAAACAGATAGATGGATGGATGGATGGATGGATGGGGGGCGACGCGTATGGCGCGTCTACGAACACGCGCATACGCGTGTGCTGCGAAAAACCACAAAAAAACCAACAACCATCAACAATGTCGAATCGCCTCGTACGCGCGCAAGACGCACGAGAGCAAAACTCAAATACCCGCGATATTCCCCTTACCCCAATCCCCATGACCACCTTGCGCAAAACCATCCACAGGGTCCACACTAACCTTCCCTTTACGCAATCCACTCCCTCAGGTAACTTGTATCCGCCCCTTGCCTCTTCACTCGCTCACAAGCGGGACCCTTAACCGCGGCATCCCGCAACCCGCCATTTCCCACTTCCCTTGCGCGTACGTTGCCGTTGTAAAGAACAGGGAGCGGACATTATGATCGCTTTTTTTTTTGCGTACTGTGGAGAACACCCGCACACACGCCGAGGAGAGGGACCCGCAATACGATCATGCCATCGTATTTCAAGGGTGAGCACGAGCGCGGCGAAAGCGTCGCGAGGACCGGTAGGGTGTCTGTGGGTTTTTTTGTGCAAGAAGGGGGGGGGGGGGTCTGGAAAAGTGGGGAGGGAAGGGAAGGGGAGGGTGTGGTTTTCTATCGGCCCGTTTTTTGAAGAGTGAAGAGAGGAAGACGTGATTCATGCGGTGGTTTTGGTGCTGACTCATTTGATTCGTGAGGGTGGGAGTGGGTTGGCTAGGGAAGGTTTGGAGAGGGGTGGTGCTGGACAATGTAAGGGGGTGGGGGGTATGATTGGGTAGGGCAGAGGGGAGTTGGGATGATTGCAAGGCGTTCTTTGCAATTGGGATTGCTGGCTGGCCTTGAAGGAGAGAAGAGAAAAAAAGTGGCTGTGGTTGAGCAGGCGTTGCCAAACGCGATGGTACTAGCGGGTTTTGCGCGTATCTGTGTGTGGCCACTAAATAGTAACCATGTCCTTCCTTCCCAGGGCAAGGACCGAACCGATACCCCAAGGCATGAACTTGGCACTTTGGTAGAAACACAAACGTACATAGCATAGCAATAATACCTACATGCATATACATTGTTCTACTATGCCTTATACTTATTTTTCTTGTAAACCGTACTAGAGGTGGCAAAAAAAGAAGAACACGTATGAGTTACTTTACGCGTCTATCCTACCTTTTCTCGGTTCTTCCAAGACCCTGCCCAGGCAGTTTGCAAATACGAAGGTGAGGGGTGGGGAGTCCACACGGCCACACTTCTCCCGCCGCACTGGCAAAGATAAGACGAAGTAGTAGTGGGAAAACAAGAATTGGGATATACACAGCGCATAGCGCGGATAGACTCGTAATTGACGAAGAACACACACACACAAAAAAAAAACGTCGCGGGTTGGATTACCTTTTTGTTGTGTATAAAGGGAAAGATAATGCAGACAATGACATCATCACGCACGCGTCTTATCGACGCCCAACCTTGTCTGTGTGTTTGCAAGCCTCACCTTTTTCACCCTGCTGCTACTCGTAGTAAGCAAGTATGTTGTAGAGTTGCTGTACCACCAGAGTACCTTGACCTCGCCTCTTTCACACACACAACTGTATTAGTTTATCACGGTCCAAGCCATCGTCGTCCACGTAAAGTCCTTACGCGTAATTGGCCGTGTGCAGATCGTCGTAGTGCAGCAAGCAAAACGTTCTTGCTGCGCCAAAAGTTTAACAAAAAAGGTATGCGACAAATGGAATGGATTTGAACATGTAGGTACGGGACATGAGGGGAGGCGGGGGCAGTGTAAGTTGCAAGTTCAGTGCTTTGGTTGGTGCTTGGCGTGCTGAGGTGCCAAAGTTTGTTGTGCGTGTGCAGCGTGTTGTGGTTTTTTTGATGCGGGGCAAGTTGGAACCACAGTCAGAGGAAGAGAAGGGGTGGGAGGGACGACGTCTTGGCGCGTTTGGAGTAGAGTACATGTAATGCCGTCATTGCATGGATTGCTTAGTAGTGAGGCGATGCCGTTGATGCCGTGATAGAAAAGAGGGAATCCTCAGGGTTACGTACATACGTCATGGGGTAATACGACGGAGGGAAGCCGGACCCTCTTCATGGATGCCCATGTTGCAACTTTCATCCTAGTAAATGTACATGCGCGTAAGTGGCACCACACAACAACATCATCGCTACCATCATAATGCACATAGGGCCAAGGTTATTGAAGATCAGAAATACTTGTATTTGCTGTTCGCTGCGCTAAACAAGGACATCATGTCTTTCATATCCGAGAACAAGCTCTGGACTAGATGCGACTGAGATGCATGCATCCTAGATGCGAGATTTGCTGAGACCAAGGAAATTACTGCTGAATGGCGGGCGAACACTTCGCGTTGATTGCCAATATAACAAAACAAAACTAAGCAGAGAGGGTATCATAACCTCTGACAAGCGAGATGATTGGGAGCAAAAGAGAAAAAACAGAAAAAACAAAAACAGAACGAAGCCAGGTCGTTGCGCCAACGGTACGCCAGGTATTACGCGCTTGTAGTGGAAAAGTAGGTAGCGGGATGAAGGGTAAAAAAATAAGAGGTATACACGAGCTAGGCGGTAAGAGAATGTACAAGAAAAGATGATTGTCGCAACCGACAGGGATGATGCATGCAAGTCGTCTGTGCGTTGGTGGAATTGCGGGGAGGAGAGGCGTTTCGAAACAAAAATGGCGTCTTTGATGTGCGGCTGGTTTTACAGCGAATCCATGAAATCCATCAGCGACTTGCGGCGCCGGATTGCGCGGCTTCTGGCACTGGAACTGCCATCAATTTCGCTTCTCGGGCAGTCTGGGAGAACCAGTGTAGGCTCCCTCTCGTCTGCGCCGCGGGCAGTCATGCGTCCAAGTGTGGTAGAACGCTTTTGTTGCATAGTGCTAGTGCTGACATGCGGGACTGGGGGTGGAAGCTCAGGTGAAGGGGTCTTTCGTACAGAGTCGCCTCCACGAGACTTGGGACGCAGAATAGTAGACGCGCGGCGAATCTTGTTTTGGGCAGCGAAGTTTGCTGCGCCCTCAATGGGGGCTGTCTGAGGCGTCATGGGAGCCGGGGTGATGGGTGTAGGTGGAACCCTGCCGTGCAGGCGCGAGTCGAATTGCTTCTTGGCAGGTGTAATGGCGATCTTGGCAAGCGAAAGCTTCATGGAGATGGAGCGTAGTCGGCGGTGGGCCGTGGGTTGCTTCTTGATTATTGGTGAGGCGGGGCTAGTGGAAGAGTTTTCATAGGGATCTGAACTGAGGAAGGAAAGAGCGGGAGAGTTTGGAGTTGGCGGGGGAAGGTACGATTGGCGATGGCCTGGTTGATATGATTGTGATGTTGGGTATTTTGAGAGATCGAGACGTGAGCGCGATGGCATGTAGAGGGAGGAGCGGGCGGACGCGACTTCTCCAGCGGTTGACGAGGAGGGCCTTGGCGGGGCATCGCTGAATGCAGGCGAGAAGCTGCGTGTTGATGCAGCTTGGAAGGACGAAGAAATGGAGGCTGAGTCTGTGAAAGTGCTGGGTTTTTGAGTAATTGGGCTGTGGCTGGTCGAGGGTCGGCGTGGCTCGACAACGGCGGGGGGTGAAATGGGACGAGAGAGCGAGGGTGAAACCATGCTCGTAGTGGGCATGACCTTCATGGAGAAGCGCTGTGCCTCGTCTGCCTTTTGCAGCTTCTTTGCTGCTGTGATGGGAATGAGGTTGGCCACGGAGGCGGATCGTTGCTGGACGGCTGGGCGATCGGTTTCCATGTCGACCATCTTGGGGCGGCCGGCGTGGGCATAGGCAACGGCGACGGCCATGTCGCAACTGCGGCCCTTGTCCCATCTGGAGATTGACATTGTCTTTGCGGTGGCTTGAGTGGAAATGTCGTGGACAACGGCGTCTTCGTAGTCGTATTCAGAGTCTGAGCCCGAGGCTGAGCCATCGTCGGCAGTCAGGTCCTCTTCGCTTGAGAGATAGCGTTCCTGGAAAACTTTTGGTGCTTTTGCTGTAGGTGGGGTAGGCTGCTGCGAGGCGGGTGTGTCGATGCGCAGTGTGTCGGAAACATTGTCGCACAGGTTGGGGCTCGAGGCTGCACTGTCGGTGCTGCCGCGCTGGGGACGAGGCGCGAGTTCAGGCTTGTCAAAGGTCCATTGGGACAGCTGCGAGGTGACGGCGACGTCGACCATTGTTGCAGAGTGGAGTAGGTGGTAGTAGAGTGTGGTTGGACAGGCGTCAGTCAGTCTGTGGGTGGGAGGATATATGTATGTAGGCGTGGTCGGAATGGTCGACAGTGGGCGTTCCTTGGTAGGCGCCAGCCCGGCGGATGGGTGAGACTGGAGGTGCAGGGCGTTTGTGGTGTAGGCAAGAGCTGAGGGCGTCAGTGTTAGAGAGTGAGGTGACAGGCGATGGGCGGGTATATTATGGCGGACGATGGTGTGCCGCAGGCGGAAAAGTGTAAGAAGGGCCGGCGCTATATTATAGAGGGATAGGGCGTGGGTGGATATATTGCAGAGCACTCTCCAGCTTTGGACGCGGCCCCTGGCACGGCGTCGAGGTTTCAAGTACAACCACGACCGGGCACGGGCTGGGAACGGGCCAGGGAACCCAGCAGAGCCAGCAGAGCCAGCAGAGTCAAGGCGCGAGTCAGTGGGGCGGGCCTGTGCGCGATGCCATCATTAAACGTGCTGTCGCTGTCGCTCGACTAGTTGTCGTCGTAATAGTCGTTGCAGTGGGTGATGATGATAATGATGATGATGATGAACGGGGGGCACGAGCAGGCCAGGGCAGGGCCTCTGATACCCACACATCCACACACACACACACACACACACACACACACCTCTGCTACAGTGTACACCGGGTTACCTGCCACACCACTCAGCGCCGCCATCTCATTGCTGCGGCCAGCTGCTGCGTGTGCTGCGTGCGGTGCTAGCGAACGAGCGTGACGGCGAGAGCGGCCCTGAGTGGCTGTTGGCCCCGTTTCACGCCCTCAGTCTGCACACGCACACACAGCACACCATAGGGCCACAACGGCATTGCGCACTCGGCCTCCACCCACCCATCCATCCATCCATCCATCCATCAACCCATCCATCAGCCCAGAAACGAGCCCCATGAACTGCACCGTTCGTTCCCCAGCACCACCCGGCGTTGCGATGGCAATGCGACGAGTGGGCGGCAGGCGGCCGTGATCGCCATCCCTTCATCTCTCGTGCTCCTGTCTCGTCCGTTCTCGTCACGCTCGCCTGCCGACTGCAAGCGTCCCTGTGCCGGTCAGGGGCAGCGGCCGTGGATGGTGTGGGGTTGCGAAGAAGCTAGCCGACGCCATTGCCGGATTCGCTCCAGCATGCCGCTCTCAAGTCGTATTGTCTGCCCGCTCCACCCGTCGTGCCATTTTCCATCTCTTGGCTGTCTTTTCTCTCCGTTTGGTTGCTGCCATAGTACCGTGTGTGCTGTATGTACTGTATATGCTATCTGTTTCCCTGTCAGCTTCTGCATCTTTGTTTTTCCAGTCTAGACCTCTCTATTTACACATGTATACAAACACACGCACACACACACACACACACACACACACACACCTGTCTTTCCTCCGCTCCGCGCACTCACCAACTCACTGGCCCAAACATTGCTATCTGGCTGGCTCCGAGTCGAGGGTTGTGCCGCCGCTGGGCAGTTCAGGTACCGGGACGTGCTGAGGGCCTTGCCTGGCTGTGCCCTGGTTGTGGCTCTGGCTCTGCTGCTAGTACCAAGTAGTGAGTAGTAGTAAGTATTCTGCTCCTACCACTCACTAGTAGCATCCTCGGGCCCATGTCACCTGCAGCTGTGCCTGCCTACCTGCCTACCTGCCTGCACTGCGAGCGCCGTCACCGCCATCCCCTATCTGGCCTGTCGCCTGCCCACACCGCCAGCATGCCCTCAGACCCACCTACAGCCTCTTCGTCGACATCAATAGCCACTCCAAACTCTGCCCGAGATTGCTGTCCTCTGCTCCTCTGCCCACGCCCGGCTGAGCGCCTGACCAGACCGCCACATCAAGCTCGTCTCGCCAATCTGCCAGCTGCACACGTAGATTGCTCCACGCCCATGGCAACGCTTACGCTCGGAACTCAGGCCCGTGCCACCTTCTCTCCATTCAATCCCACCACCAAGCGCCCACTATCCATCGACCTCTAGCTCTATCCATCTACGTCGCCAGTAATTACTTACATTGTAGACACGCACACCCTCACATCTTCAGCCCCTCTACTCTGGCCTGCATCATCACAATCATCTCGTGTTGCAACCCGCTGCACTTCGGTTTCACCGCTCGCTTTTTCTTCTTTGCACCCCCGCCCTCTCTCGAACCGTTTGTGCGCCAGCACGCTGCAAACGCCCTGCGTGTTCCTTGTCCTGCAGCAACGCCACGCCCAACCGTACCGCGTGCTACGTACCCGAACAAGTCCCTAGCACGTACCTACGCACCCAAGTACCTATCTTCGTACCTACATGTCCAAATGCACTAGCACAGTACCCACCTCCCATGCCCTGCTGATCGCGGCATTAGTCACTCCACTGCCGCTTGACCATCGTCTTTAGCTCCCACTGCCATGCTGACGCTGCACGCGTTCCTGAAGCTCGCTCATTCCACTGTTGGTCTCAGCTCCATTTACGAGGCTGATGTCATAGCCGCCCCGTCGTTGCCTGCCAAGCCTCACCGCCTGACTCCTGGCCGTGGCCTGAGGAAGGAACCATCGCCCCACCTGCTGCTACTTAGTCGCTACATCCTAATACTTGCCTGCACTAATACTTAACTAACTCTCTTCTGCTTACTCACTCTCCACCCAGCCCTCTGGCTTCCCTATTAATACTACGCACATGGCTATACTTACTGACCACCAACCATGCTGACGGCATCCCATCGCCACACTCATCCCATCAGCCCTTTTCGTGCAAACAGCCTCGTGCGCCGTGTGACTCGGCAACACCCGACCAAGCCAGGGCTATTGTCTGTGAGACACAAATCCACACCGCTGGCCCCCCCCCCCAAACTCGCCACAATCGGCGCCATGTGTTGCAAGGTAGAATACGGGCACCACTGACCTGAGCTTTTTCGCTAGTAACCTCAGCGATGACAGCCAAGAGACATGGCATCTAGGCAGGCGTTGCGCTTCTTCCCGTGACAGGTGCCCCGAGTACATATCAGCTCGAGAGACCCTTTGGTCATGAAACTGACCAACCCATCTCAAGGCTTGAATCAAACACTAATACGCAGCAATCCACAGCCAAGTGTAGATGATACCTTTAAACAACAATCACATGCACGTAAAAACGGAACAGTTGGACTATGCCTACCCTCTGCTCGGCCTCGGACAAAGCAAATTAGCACCTAGATTGTTCTTGCTATCTCCACAGTATGCGATATTCGTCCGGATGTCATGGGCATGAACCTTAATGATACTTTCTTAGACAGATGAACATTTGAAATCATCCACTCACAGTTGACCAAATCTTTCCAGAACATGTCTAGCGTTTGCAACGTGACCTGACAACTAACCCCCGACGCGGAGTCTTCTGCCATCATTGCATCGACTCGACGAATCATAGCCCATGCATTACATCGGATCGATAAATCTTATTTCTTCGCCTACCAAATGCCCCCAAACCCTTCTGATATGCAGCTAAACGTGCATGGATTGTTTCCTCCATCTGGCCTAGTGCTCCTTCCTGACCCTGTAAGTAAACAAATCAAAGTTAGTCTTGTCGCCATCAAACAGCCAACCCCGCGTGTTTGCTCTATACCATTGCTCATGTCTGTCTACTGGCCACTGAACTCCTCCATCTGACGTGCTTCATCTCGATTACTCACCGTACATGACTGCGCAGCATCAGAATTCATCAAATCCACGTAGCTATGTATTCGCCCCGACGCCGGTGCTTACTACATGTCACCGCGGCCCTGCCGCTGCAAGCATTCATTTACGTCGTCGATACCTTGCTGGTCCATTCAGAGAGCGGTCAGCCCTCAACAGAAGACTACATGTATACATCACTTGAGGGGTCACATCAAGGCTATTAAATGGGACCGCATCCCCTACAGTCAGCTTTGTCGTTTACTACATCATTACCTAAACCATCTTTGTGCATACCCGTTCTCGTAGTCGACACTATGAGGTATTCCATCATATTCACTACGCTTGTTGCTAGCGTTTCTGCAAGTGACAAGCCGGCCGTGAACCCCGTAAAACGCCGACTGCATCTTAGCAAAACACTCCATTTTCTAACAATCTCCAGACACTGCTCAAGTCTCAAATCCTTCGTGATAACCTATTGGCCGGTGCACAAAAACTGGAAGACTTTGCCAATGTCACCCCAAACAAGAGTCGAAGCATGGGTAGCCCAGGACAGGTGGCAACCCTGAAGTGGCTCAAAGATAACCTCGATGCCCTCGACTACTACGACGTTTCCCTTCAGACATTTCCCTGGGTAGTTTCCTGGAGTGACCAAATAAACTCCTTCTCCATCAATGGCACTGCCCTATCGAATTTGACCTCTTCACTCTTTGAATATTCTCCCACCGCAAAAGTCACTGCCCCTTTGATCATCGTCGAGGGTGGATGCAACAGGGTATGCTTGTGAAACCACCTTGGTAGACCATTTGACTTGCAACTAATCTTGAAACATCCAGACGGATTATACTCCCGCAGTAGCTGGCAAGATTACCCTCATAGCCCGTGGGACGTGCGACTATGGTATCAAATCTGCTTACTCTGGTGCTTTTGGAGCTGTCGGATCTATTTTGTACAACATTGACGACAGAGGCCCTGAAGTTGGCACTCTGCTCGCGCCTCCTCGGCCTGAGGGCCCATACGTCCCTACCCTGAATATCATCAAGAATGTATCCACTCCCATAGTGGCGGCACTCAAACGCGGAGAAAAGATATATGCCAGTTTCGATGTCTACTCAGGTAAGTCGTTTATTGATTCGAGGAGGCAACATGACTCACACGAGTATCACAGACATCCGCAACATCACCTCATCGAACCTCATTGCTACCACCAAGTCTGGAGACCACAACAACAAGCTCGTTGTCGGCGCTCACTCGGATGGTGTGCTTCAGGGTCCAGCAATCAATGACGTTGCAAGTGGCCTAGTTGGGGTCTATGAGGTCGCCAAAGGACTGTCAAAATACAAAATCAAGAACGCGGTAACATTTGCCTTTTGGACCGCCCAACAGGCTGGCTGTCTGCCTGGCTCATCACATTTCATCAACAACCTCACTCCAGCTGAAAATGCCAAGATCCGTGCTTATTTGAATTTCGACCTGGTACGCATTACATTTCATGCTTTGTAGATGTGGTTGCTTATGTTCTGCTCTAGCTTGGCTCGCTCAACTACGTCCACCAAACCTATGATGGCGACGGCAAAGCCTTTGGCACGCCTGGACCCGACGGCTCCACTCAGATACAAAATCTCTTCCAGCAGTACTTCAAAGCTGCGGGAACAAGTACTATCCCAAAGGAGTACGACGGGCTCTCCGATCATGTACCTTTCGTCGCTGCTGGCATTCCCGTTGGAGGAACTTCGACAGGCCGAGATATACAGAAGACCCCAGAGCAGGCTACCATTTTTGGTGGAACAGCTGGTGTTGACTACGACCCTTGCTTTCACTTGCCATGTGATACAGTCAAAAATTTGAATCTGGACGCCTGGGTCCTTCACACCAAGGGTATTGCCGAGGCTGTTGCCACCTATGCCAATTCCTGGGAAGGATTCCCAAAGAGGACTAACAGCGCGGCAAAGAGAAGCGTAATCCGCGCCAGAGAGAGTAAAGAGAAATCACATGCCTAAGGGGTTCAGGTTAATGATACAGTTTCTCAACCACATGAAATAGCAAGGTTGCAAGACATATGAAGAGATAAATTTGTCAATATACAGCATACTATGCAACTAAACATCAAGTTGAAAAGAGACTTCCAACTGCAACCAAGTTCATCTTCTGGCAGCGCTTTGATATCCTGCATCTCCCAATGTACCTTCACCTCACCACATACTTCCACAACAGCCCAGCCAAAATCGCCATAGTCGCCACGCTGACACCACTACATCCCACCCAACCTTATTCACCTACTTTCGCTTATGATTCGGCTACCGGGGTTGCAGCCGAAGAACAAGGTCAGAGGAAACACGGCCCATATCCGCACAAAACCCCCATCCCGTCCTGTACGCACAAATTGCAAGACCAAGCAAAGAAATTCTCATTAATTAGCTTATCGTCTTCACCCGGCGGAGAAATCAACGCCCCAAAATTTTACCGGCCTTATCTTAAACCACATGCCCCCCGCCCCCATGACTTAATTCCACATACGATGTGCACACCCATCCCAAGCCGTTACCTGTCAGCGCGTTTGAAATATAGTGTTTAATAACCGAGTGCTCGGTAGTTGTGGGTCTGAGCCCGCAAGACTATTGTTTGAGACGAGTAACGGGGACCGTGTTCTTGGAAATTTGGAAATTTGAGTGTACGAGAGCGCATTTTGATAGCGGTTTTCTTGCGTCGTGCGAGCAGGGGTGGGGGATGGGGGGGGGGAGAATGTGCGGAGATTACTAGGAGTGTGGGTCAGGTGATAAAGATCACGTGAACACGTGTCTATATTGTGATTGCAGTTCCCACTCGACTTGAGCAAGTTAAGATATGCATAAAAATCGTAATGAAATCAGCTGTGATCGTCAATGATAGAACAGACTTGGAGACTTGGCTTGCTATGCGGCTATTCCTAATCCATACAAGCAGGTACAACATATCAAATCGCAATTTCTCGTACATATGATCATCAAGACCTATTAGATATCCTTGGGTTGACCAGTTCGGCGGAGGAATAGTATTCAATCAGCTTCCTACTCACGAATCCCTGCTGTCGTATGTTTTTGTGAGAAATTTTAATATTCTTTTCCACTCCAACCCAAGATCACGTGATGATCACTGGCATGTAGTGCTCGCTTCAAGTCTCCAAACTGTCTAGACAGCTCCACCCCACCCAACCCTACTGTCGGCACAGACTACTCCGCATCGCCGATCACAAGTCTAAAATAGTCCACCGTTTCAAGACATTAACCACCCAAGGTAATAACAGCAGCATCTAGATACACTACTTTCAGCTCGAAATCTAGAATGATAAAGGGGTTCAGTTGGCATCCCTTTCAAGCATTAATCTCTCCACTTGCAAAAATCAAAGAGCAAGGCGTGATAAGACCATCCAAGCAAACCTCCCAATTGTACACGGCATATGTGGGCCAAGCCGGGAAAAGCAACGAAAATGTTTGTTTGATGCGGCTGAAGGGTTCCCCGCGGGCCTTCAACTTCGCGTCTGGTTGTGGTAAAGCGGGAGAGCATCTACTTATTTATGTGTCACTATAGTGCATCCAACCGACTTTTTGTACCTCGAAACACTGCATAAGACAACAGCAGCACCTCTTGCACTTGTCTCCACGCGCCTCTCTCCCCTATCTGGCTCAGCGCGAATCCATGTCACGTCTCATGCAT